CTATCAACACGAACCTAGCCACACAAACCTATCCACACGAACCTATCAACACGAACCTATCAACACGAACCTATCAACACGAACCTAACCACACAAACCTATCAACACGAACCTATCAACACAAACCTAACCACACAAACCTATCAACACAAACCTATCAACACGAACCTAGCCACACGAACCTATCAACACGAACCTATCTACACGAACCTACTTACTCAAACCTAGCCACATAAATACTCGACTGTTAAATCTCGTACTTTTCTTTACAAGTTAACCCTTAAGTAGACAACATCCAACTCCAGAGCCACACGACCATTTACGGCCTTAAGTAAAACAAACTTTGTTGCTTCAAGCATTACAACTAATATTTTTTCTCATCTACCTGCACCTCATAACATGGCTCTGTGCTCAATACAATTAGCGCATCCACGGTTAATTAATTAAACCATCTTAAGACATAAGAAGTCAAGTTAGGCGGGTAAAGGAATATTGTTGTTTAGGAATACAATATTCTAAACACTCCAACATGAACTTTTTTTTCATTCAAATATATCCGAGGAGCTTCCAGTTTTAATACATCTCGATTGGTAAAGTAGGCCTATGTATCATCAAACATGTTCGCGTTTCTAATCTCATTCGATAAACAAACCTCTCGCCTAAATTCTCCTCGGGAATATGAAATCCTAAATCGTGGAACAAATTTAATAGCCAGCCGTTTATTTGCACAAAATATGTAAAGAAAATGCGGCCAAAAAAAAAATAATATCAAAGAGAATGGCTTTCAAACGATAAATTGCGAATTTATAATTATTAGCCCTATAGTTAACACGAGCACATGCAAAACTTTTCGCAAATTTAATTTTTTACAATGAAATATTTATCTTCTTAGTTAATTATGGAGAATATTATAGAGTTAAATGCGGACAAGAAAATATGGGTTCATAAGTGTATATCCATATATACACATATATATACATTATATGTATATATACATGTATATATATATATATATATATATATATATATATATATATATATATATATATATATATATATATATATATATATATATATATATATATATATATATATATATACATATTGTATTTCGCTCTCTATTTTTTTCTTGCTCTCTCTCTTTCTCTCTCTCTCTCTCTCTCTCTCTCTCTCTCTCTCTCTCTCTCTCTATATATATATATATATATATATATATATATATATATATATATATATATATATATATCGGGAAATAAAATATGCTCTAAAATATCTCTTGTCGGAAATATCCCCAATGCTTTTATTAATTGTATGATTCATGTGTAAGCATTCATTATCTGATTTATGTATGTGTGCAGCCCGTGATGGGGGCACCGGGCCTAAAACCTAATTACAAGGATAGGGGGAATAATTTCCGTGCTCCCAACTGTTAACGCTAACCTCCCCTACCCATTGTTAACGCTAACGTCCAGCTAACTTCTAAGACCGCTTCTAACACCGAAATTTGCTACGTGCACGCAAGATTTTTTTACGTGTCGTTTTATTAGTTACATAGATAGAATATTGATCCTGTCCCTAAAACACTCTAGGCCCGGGTTCGAGAGTTGAAAAGTGCACTGCTAAAAGTGGTTGGAAGGTTTTAATGACCAATTGGAGTCTACCAATACAGAAATAGATAAACCCGAATTCATCCGCATTGAAATTGTCAATGTTCATTTCATTATACACAAACCGTTTTTGACAAAATATACTGATATTAATAAATGATAAATATACTGTGCTCCCTTTTGTATTTACTCTTTCTAGCGTGTGTGTGACCTGGAAATCTAAACACTAACTTCTGCTACAAAAAATTACTTAACAAAAATTAAGCGGAGTATAAAATAATATTCAGAAAAAATTGTATGAATAACATTGATAAAGCCATATCTATCTGTAAAATCAACTTAAAAATCAGAACGCAATGGAGATCAATAAATTGGACATCAAGATCAGAACAAAATTAGCATAGAGCCAGAACATAATGGATGTCAGTCTTTAAAAATTGTTCATTAAGACCATTACAAAATTAAAATTAAGTTCAGAACAAAATAAACTTCAGATTACAAAATAAACTTCAGATTCAGAACAAATTATTCTTCAAGATCACAACAAAATGAGCTTCAAGTTCAGAACAAAATATTCTTCAAGATCACAACAAAATGAACCTCAAGAACACAACACCATAACTGCTACAACACTGACAGACACTATTGTCATACGTTTAGGATAAGCGACTTGAAGTACCGTAAACATATCATAATTCTGGGACCAGTCTGCACAACACCACCGTCGAGTTGGCTGATAATGAGCCCACCGGCGCATATCTGTTGGGGGGCAGACGGAGATAATGAGACAGGCTCGATAAAGTTTTCTGTAGCATTTTCCCCCCACAAAAACCGTCTCAAGATTGCCGGACTATCTAAAGTGAAATCATCGAGTAAACGAGAACCGGTTTTTTTTTCTATTCAGTTTTTCTTCATTTAACTTTCAACAGCGGGCCCCGTTTCTCATCCGTTGCTTCGATCTGGTACAGCGCAAGTTTTAAATTCAGCATTTCACGTGTTTTAAATTCAGAATTGTACATGTTTTAAATAAAACATTTTACATGTTTAAATTCAGCATTGTGCATGTTTTAAATGTAACATTTCACATGTTTTGAATTCAGAGTTTCACATGTTTTATATTCAGCATTATCCACTTTTTAAATTTAACATTTCACACGTTTTGAATCCAGCATTTCACATGTTAGAAACTGTATATTACATGTTTTTAAATATATGGTCTGTTCAGCATTTCACGTGTTTTAAAAGCCAGCGTTTCACATGTTATAAATTCAACATCGCGCTTGTTTCGGCATTTCACGTGTTTGAAACTCTGCGTTTTACGTGTTTTTATTATGGATATCTCCTGTTTAAGATTCAGCATGTTGCATGTTTTAATTCAGTATTGCATTACAAACACTTTAAATGAGCGGCCTGGCGATAGCACATTGTCAAAACTTCTTTGTTGTTTTTTTTCTAGTTCTCTATACTTAAGATTTCAATGTTACTGTAATAAAAACTTGTATTTTGTTCTTCTAAATCTAAAAGACTTTTTGATTTTCTCTACCCGGCACATGTGTAAAACAAACAAACAATGAAGGTAATTAGAACTTAATTAGAACTTAATTAGAACTTAACGCACGCTTCACCAGCCGGATAAACTTTTTTTCAGTGGTCAGTAAAAACCAAACCCCCACAAGTGATGAAAACAAAGCAGTATTCATCGAATGAGAAAGTGCCATTCAATAATTTTTAAAACGAATTATTATTCACTAGTGAAACAAAGCACTATTCATCACTAAGAGAAAGTAACATTCACTAATATTTTTTTTTAACTATCATTATTCTTTAGTGAAACAAAGAACCTTTCACTAGTAAAACAATTTACTATTCATCAGTAAGACTAAGTACCATTCACTAGTTTTTTAAACATCACTATTCAGCAGTGAAACATAGAACCATTCACTAGTAAAACGATGTACTATTTATTAGTAAGACTAAGTACCATTCACTTTGTTTTAAACTTAGCACTATTTACAAGTAACACAAAGTACTATTCACTAGTGATACAGAGTAAATTTCACCAGCTATAAACGTAGATGTTACCAATAAAAAGATTATCATTTTAATAACTATTTTTACTCTATGAGTTAAATTGAAAAATAAACATGATCCGTCTAATATTATCTTGTAATTACCTAACGAAATATGATCAAAGGCTTCAAGATTTTAATGAAATGCTTACTCTATTTAATCTAATATAGTCACGCGATTATCTTGTAATTAGATATTTAAATACTTATTAAAACCTCGTTTGTGTATTTAGCAAGCCGTAAAACAAATATTCTTTTCAATTGTAACAGCCCTTGTTTTATAATACAATATATACCGTCTAGTTTTGGAACTTGCTTTATTAAAGAAATATTTTCTTAATTGCCGCATATATATTTCTACCGACTAAGATTTTTTTTTTACATTATATTCTCTTCTCTCAAGGGAGTAAACACATTCACACACCACCACATCAACACACACTTTTCAATACAGAATACTGCTCTAATGACTTACTTTATGACAAGTTCCTATCTAGCAAACCAAGACTTACTTTATAACAACAAGTTGCCATCTATCACATCAAGACTTACTTTATAACAATACGTTTCTATCTACTACACCACCAAGGCTTACTTTATAACATTTTTGAATCTACCACACCAAGACTAACTTAAAACATGTTTCTACCTACCATACCAAGACTATATAACAATTTCCTACTACGACACAAAAACTTACTCTAAAACAGCTTCTTTTTTTTCTACCACACCTGAGCTTACTTTATAAAAAACATTCCTACCTTCCACATTAAGCTTACTTTATAACAAGTTACCATCTACTACATCAAGACTTACGTTATAACAATAAAGTCCTACCTACCACACCACGACTTACTTTATAACTATAAATTCCTACCTAACTACCACACCAAGACTTACTTTATAACGATAAAGACGTAGCTACCTACGTCACCAAGACTTACTTTATAACAATAAATTCCTACCTAACTACCACACCAAGACTTACTTTATAACGATAAAGCCGTACCTACCTACGTCACCAAGACTTACTTTATAACGATAAAGCCGTACCTACCTACGTCACCAAGACTTACTTTATAACAATAAATTTCCTCCTACCAAGACTTACTTTATAACATAAATTCCTACCTACCTACCACACCAAGACTTACTTTATAACATAAATTCCTACCTACGTCACCAAGACTAACTTTATAAGGATAAAGACGTACATACCTACCTTCCACACCAAGACTTACTTACGACCACAACCCCCCCCCCCCCCCCCCCCCATCAGCACACGACCGTGCCAATAGAAAAACAATCCAGAAAAAAAACTTACTTGTCAGAGCGGGGCTGTCATCAAGTCTTGACCACCTTATCTGGGGCTCCTCAAGCACTGAGTGATGGCCAACAAGGGGCGAGTCTTGTCTCCCTTGTTCCTAACGACCTCGCTAGCGCTCAGTGTTAACCCGATCACCGCGGCTCTGGCACCTTCTTGTCACTCGTGCCGCTCGCGTCACAAGAAAAGTGTGATAAATTCTTCGCGGTTGCTTCCCTTTAAATTATCTCCCTTGCTTACCTCCCTCTCCGCCTCTCGTTCGTGTTTTCACAAAATAGCTTTTAAAATTATTTTTCTTTTCGTTGTCTGAGAAAAAAAAACCTTTTCATGAAATAAAACTTTGATGCTGAAGTAAATTTTAAAACAAATTCAAATGATGAATTATTATTTCTAATAATTTTTAAAAGTCACGTTGCATAAAACGTAACCACGCATTAATAAACTGTGTTCTATGAAACTCCTGCATAGTAAAATGTTTAGTTAAGCTTTAATATATTTTTACAACCTACACGAATAAATTTAAAGTGTATGCTAGCATACGTTTACACAAAAAGTAATTTATTTTCTAAAAGGCCATAATTATAAACAGAAATCGGTTAATCAATAATGAAACTATTCCATCCTTGGGTAGGATTGTAATTCTCATCATAATGCAGCCAATAAACTAATTAGTTTTGTCCCGCAAATAGGTTCCTTGTTGCAAAGCATTAAACGATTAGAAAAATCGCCACCGTTGGTTGGAAATTTAATAGGAGTTGTGGAACGTGGCCGCGGGGGTTGTTGTTCCTTAAAGCGTGGGATACGTTTTACTCGCCTCTCTCAGGAACGACAAGCGAGAAATAACAAAACAAGGGACACAACCACTACTCGTTGAATTATTCTCGTCTAATCTAAGTAAATGCTAACTCCGTTCCTCTAAAGCAGGTTATGAAACATGTAAAAACAATCGATATGCGAGCACCGATAGGCACGGGGAATCGACTGGGAGTTGGTTTTATTTTTTTTTTAATTTTTTAAAATTTAATTACTACAGCATGCAATGTTCAGCTTAATTTGTGTTCATTTTAAAATTAAACAATCGTCCAATAGTTTTGATTAATTACGACAAAACAAGCCTCCGTGTTAATGCGCTAGTTTAATCAGTCATTGTTGATAGATGACTTATGTCATTGACGGCTTCGCTAATTAAGGAAGGCTAATTAACCGCTGAGCATTAATGTAATAGATTTAATAAAATTACCCTTCACTCATGATAAACATAGTTATGTTGTGATGGAGCTTTAAAAAAAGGATGGAAGAGTGAGTCTAGTCTACCACTCTACTCCGCTGTGATAAAAATTGTAATGAATGTGTATGTATGTAGAATTCTACATGTACATATGACTATATACTTTGAGGCTTGGGCTAGCTATAATCTTAAGTTAGATAAATATCACATATATTTTTAAAATGCATTACTTAGATACTGAATGGGGAAAGACAACACAAAGTACCATATATAAATATTATATATATATAAATATTATATATATATATATATATATATATATATATATATATATATATATATATATATATATATATATATATATATATATACGTGTTCGTGTTCGTGTACGTTTACCTGAGTACGTGTATAGGCTTACATGTTGTGTATACAAATTAAAATGTTTTTTAATTGTTATGACAAAAAATTAAAATACAAAAAGCGCTGTAAATTTAAAAATTGGCGCATTTTGAGGCTAAAAAATTAAAAATTTCAAATAATGTGAACATGTATAAAGGATCTTTTCCCTAAATAACTCTAACAATTTATTTATGACCAGTTTTTAAAGATGATCTCACTCATGTAATATCGCGGTTCAAGAAAAAAAGAATGCCCCATGAAGAATATCTAAAAGGCACATAAGAGACATGTTTAATAATAAATTGTGTATTATCTAAAGACCGTGGTCCGGGCTGGGGTGAGCTGAGGTTGTGCCTGGGAGCCAACCTGTGGAGGGGGATGTGGCAGTAGCAGCCTCAGCCCCCCTAAAGCCCGGGCTTCAGCCAGGATCTCCTGCGTCACGTGGTATGACGTGATGTGTGCGGGACTGTGATACGCTAGGCTAGAGTTGGATGATTCATGACCGGCAAAACTCGACTTTCGGATTTCGTTATTTGGGGAAATATAATTATTTTATTATTAAAATTGGATTGTCTGTTAAATTGGGATTGATGATATTCTAATGCAATATTAAATGAGCACGAAAAAAAGCGAATATATATATATATATATATATATATATATATATATATATATATATATATATATATATATATATATATATATATATATATATATATATATATATATATATATATATATATACTTAAACTATCAAACTAAAAGTAACGAGACTTCTTCTGATCATTTGTTATCATTGTGCACATGTTGTTCTATGTCTATGCTGCATTTTGTATGTATTACAAAGATATCACGTTCGACAAGTTATTTTTCACTTTTCCGTCGTACTTCAGTTGTTAAACACTCAGGGGTGGACTGACCGGCCGGTATGCCGGGCAAAAATTCCGGTAAGCCCCGCAGGTTAAAATCTCCAGGTAGGCTCCCAGGTAAAAAAAAAAAAGTCCTGCTTGGCCCATAAGTATGGTTTTGTACTAACCCCATAAGTGCTTTAGTTTTTTTAAAAATAATAACAAAATAATAAATTGTCGCGTGAATTTTCATCAAGATGATGATGATCTTCGGGCTTTGATAAGGAAAAAAAGGCACAATAAAAAATCTAATCTGGGGTTGGGGACCCCCTTTTAAAATTTCTCAGGTCTCTTGGACACACCTGTGCACACCGTATAGTTTACATGGATACTTTTCTCTAAGGATCCGAATTCGAGACCTATGGGTTAGCACTAGATTCAGACATCTCAGCCATTCGAATAACAAACAAAAAATATCATATGAGGAGTAGCGGTGACTCTTTTTTGGACCTTCCTGCAATTATGACGATAGGGTATTTGATGGAACATATTTTAAAACTTATTAGACTAAATATTTTTTCAAATTAAACATTAACTATACTTTTTTTGCAGATTTTAATCATTGAATCTGGACTTTTTTTATTTTGGTAAAACTAGTCAACAAAAAAAATAGGTCCATTTCATCGTCATAGTCGAACTAAGGGTACAGTTTACACTCTCTTGCGTTGATCCGGCCCAAGTCTTTTGTATATCCCATAATTCCAAGTCTTCGGGGTAATGGACTGGCAAGTGGCTGGAACTCTGGAGGGGATTCCTTGGATCCCAGAGTCTTCCCCGGCCGCCTAGATCACGTGGTCACGCAGCCATCTGCCAGATTTGAGCGCCCTGGCTCGTGCGTCCCTTCTCCCCCCGGCTACTCCGCGGTTAAACCCAATCGTTAGCGTGTCAATACCGCCGACTAGAGTCCTTTCAGCGTTATGGAAGAAAACAGTGGAGGTAATAAAACCATTATCAACCATCAATCAGGAAATACGCGTCGTTATAAACATATTGATTCTACCAGCCACAAAAGGGGGAATATCTGTTGCATTGTTAATTAGAGCTAGCGGGTATCTATAAGGCGGCTCCCAGGGGAGGGTTGTTTTTTTTTTTTTTTTTTTTTTTTTACAAAAATGTTCTTACGCCCTGAGCTAATTCTTGTTTATGGCTTCATCCTTTGTGTATACATTTTTTTTCTTTGAAACCGCAGCTTTGAATGACGCCCTCCCCCCCCCCCAGATCACAGCAGCTTTCTTTGAATGACGCCCTCGCCCTCGCCCTCGTCCCCCCCCCCCCCACCCCCAACTCACAGCAGCTTTCTTTGAATGACGCCCTCGCCCCCCCCCCCAACTCAGAGCAGCTTTCTTTGAATGACGCCCTCGCCCCCACGCCAACTGACAGCAGCTTTCTTTTAATGACGCCTTCGACCCCCCCCCCCCCCAAACTTAGAGCAGCTTTCTTTAAATGACGCCCTTGCCCCCCCCCCCCCCCCACACACACACCCAGATCACAGCAGCTTTCTTTGAATGACGACCTCGCCCCCCCCCCCCAAAACACACAGCAGTTTTCTTTGAATGACGCCTTCGCCCCCCCCCCCCCCAACTCACAGCAGCTTTCTTTGAATGGCGCCTTCGACCCCCCTCCCCCCCGATCACATCAGTTTTCTTTGAATGGCGCCTTCGACCCCCCCCCCCCCCAGATCACATCAGTTTTCTTTGAATGACGCCTTCGCCCCCCCCCCCCCCCCCAACTCACAGCAGCTTTCTTTGAATGGCGCCTTCGGCCCTCCCCCCCCCCCCCAGATCACATCAGTTTTCTTTGAATGACGCCTTCGCCCCCCCCCCCAACTCACAGCAGCTTTCTTTGAATGACGCCTTCGGCCCTTTCCCCCCCCCCCCCCAGATCACCGCAGCATTAAAACAAAAACAAAGCGCCTCCACCCAGCTAGGCTGCTATACATTTATAGTGTTAGATAACGCTATGTACATCAATAACTGCACTTTTGATTTTAATTAAGTATTAATGAGCATGTCTTCATTATGATACCATTAAAAATTAATAAAAAAAATATAAGAGGAGAATGGTTCTTGCACTAATTAACATGTGTCCATTATCTCTTCAAGCACTACGGACGTCTAATTAGATGGTGGTAAGTAGACCGTCAGGCTAAACGTAACACAAGGGTGATTTAGCTTCATGGCTAAACGCTCTGTACGGGTCGTCTATACAGGTCGCCTCGCACCGTGGGGGTGGGGTGGGTTCACACTTTCGTACTTTCGTAATTCTCGGCTGGGGTGGGAGGGGGGGGGGGCAAGAGGACGTAGCATTTATTTATTACATTGGAATTTATTTATTTTAATTTTCATTTTAAGATGGGTGGGGGAGATGTGGAATTTTATCACGTTATGCTGGTGGGGGTGGGGCTGGGAGGATAGGGGTGGGGCAGGGGTAAACATGTCTAAAATAGATATTTGTCATTTATGAACTATCTATAATTCTAGTGAGTCTGATTAGCTTTAAAAAGTACCCAAACAAATTTGGTGAAACACTTGGCTACATTGTTCTCTCTTTTCTAGCAGTTTCTACGACGTTGGTAATAACTTAATTCTCAACACACAAATCACGTGACAAATGTTGATAATTTTTTTGAAAAAAAC